ACAGAAGGTATATGGAAACATGCCAACCGTTTCCACCCGTACCGGGTATCATACCCCGGACACCCAGTGTGTGAGCTGAGTGCGCTACCAAGCGAAGCTGGGCATAGTTTGCTTTCACACCTTCCTCATGCAGTTCACAACATTTTTCAACTATATTCATACTGTAGTACGTTATTATATTCCCATGTTTCATGTCTCGAGCGTCAACCTGTCTCCCATGTCTCTAGTACTTAGTAATTCTGTATCTCTGTCTCTTTGCTCTTTCCTCTGTACTTCAGTTAACAGGTGTGGCTGACCTGTTAACAGGTGTGGCTGACTTGTTAATTAACAGGTGTGGCTGACCTGTTAACAGGTGTGGCTGACCAGTATTTGCCTGCAGTATCTTACATATATGTGGTATCGACCACCTTCGCCTGAAAGCGACGGTCGTTTAGCAGAATAAACAATAAAAATTATGTATGCATGTATATATATATAAATATCGTGCCAGATAGGTAAAACTTGCAATTTGGGCTTAAATAGCAACACTCTTCTTGCCGAATAGGGCAAGCGAAGATTTGTGTGTGCAATAATTTCGCAAAAATCATTCTGAATCTAACGAAAAAAAATATATTTCATTGTATTTGTTTATTGTTAGACTAATATAAACTTATCAAAAATATATTTAGTTGGATTAGGCTGAATTAAATTGCGCTTGTTATAATAAAGTTAGGTGGGTTTTCTAAGGTTCTTTTGGTACAATATTAATTTTTACATTAACAAAAATGAAAAAAATATATATCTCTAAACGTATAAGAGAAAATTTTAGAAATTACTTAATTTTAAACGAGTTCCTGCTAATTGGCCAGTTTTACCTATTCCGCACGACATATATACATATATATATATATTATATATATATATATATATATATATATATATATATATATATATATATATATATATATATATATATATATATATATATATATGTCGTGCCGAATAGGCAGAATTTGCGATCTTGGCTTAAATAGCAACGTTCATCTTGCCATACAGGACAAGTGAAAATTTGTGTATGCAATAATTTCGCCAAAATCAATCTGAACCTAACGAAAAAAATATATTTCACTGTGTTTGTTTACTCTTAAATTACTGTAAACAAATCTAAAATATATTTATTTGGGATAGGCTAAAATAAATTGTTCTTGTTATAATAAGGTTAGGTAAGTTTTCTAAGATTCTTTTGGTGCAAAATTAAAAATTTTTACATTAACATTAATGAAAAAAATATATCTTTAAACGTATAAGAGAAAATTTTAGAACGGACTTAATTTTAAATGAGTTCTTGCTAATTGACCAGTTTTACATATTCGGCACGATATATATATATATATATATATATATATATATATATATAATATATATATATATATATATATATATATATATATAATATATATATATATATATATATAATATATATATGTATATATGTATGTATATATATATATGAATATATGGATCTTCCCTGCACTTGGATAAAACCTGAAAGTTTCCCATTACTCCAGGAGCTATATGACCCCTACGGGTTTAGCGCTTCCCCATGTAATAATAATAATAATAATAATAATAATAATAATAATAATAATAATAATAATAATAATAATGGGAACTTCCGAGAAAAATGTGGAATGCCGTATGAACATTTTTTTCCCTGTGATAACCGAGAACACTTAAGTTGGTCCACTTAAAGTGCGCGCATGCGTCAAGATGGTCCACTTAATTAAGGTGCACACGCATGCGTCAAGATGGTTCACTTAAAGTGCGCGCATGCGTCAAGATGGTCCACTTAATTAAGGTGCACGCATGCGTCAAGATGGTTCACTTAAAGTGCGCGCATGCGTCAAGATGGTCCACTTAATTAAGGTGCACGCATGCGTCAAGATGGTTCACTTAAAGTGCGCGCATGCGTCAAGATGGTCCACTTAATTAAGGTGCACGCATGCATCAAGATGGTTCACTTAAAGTGCGCGCATGCGTCAAGATGGTCCACTTAATTAAGGTGCACGCATGCGTCAAGATGGTCCACTTAATTAAGGTGCGCGCATGCGTCAACATGGTCCACTTAATTAAGGTGCACGCATGCGTCAACATGGTCCACTTAAAGTGCGCGCATGCGTCAAGATGGTCCACTTAATTAAGGTGCGCGCATGCGTCAACATGGTCCACTTAATTAAGGTGCGCGCATGCGTCAACATGGTCCACTTAATTAAGGTGCGCGCATGCGTCAAGATGGTCCACTTAATTAAGGTGCGCGCATGCGTCAACATGGTCCACTTAAGGTGCGCGCATGCGTCAACATGGTCCACTTAATTAAGGTGCGCGCATGCGTCAACATGGTCCACTTAATTAAGGTGCACGCATGCGTCAACATGGTCCACTTAATTAAGGTGCGCGCATGCGTCAACATGGTCCACTTAAGGTGCGCGCATGCGTCAACATGGTCCACTTAAGGTGCACGCATGCGTCAAGATGGACCACTTAATTAAGGTGCGCGCATGCGTCAAGATGGTCCACTTAAGGTGCGCGCATGCGTCAAGATGGACCACTTAAGGTGCGCGCATGCGTCAAGATGGACCACTTAAGGTGCACGCATGCGTCAAGATGGACCACTTAAGGTGCGCGCATGCGTCAAGATGGACCACTTAAGGTGCGCGCATGCGTCAAGATGGACCACTTAAGGTGCGCGCATGCGTCAAGATGGACCACTTAAGGTGCGCGCATGCGTCAAAATGGACCACTTAAGGTGCACGCATGCGTCAAGAATGAAAAGCGCGGCATTGTTTTTTCACTCAGTTTTAAGTGCTTAGATGTGATAAGTCGTTATTCAGTGTTGGGTATTATGTAGGAAGGTGACGGCGCCCACCACACCTGTGTCACGTCAAGGCGGAGTGACGGTCACCACACCTGTGTCACGTCAAGGCGGAGTGACGGTCACCACACCTGTGTCACGTCAAGGCGGAGTGACGGTCACCACACCTCTGTGTCACGTCAAGGCAGAGTGACGACCACCACACCTCTGTGTCACGTCAAGGCGGAGTGACGGCCACCACACCTCTGTGTCACGTCAAGGCAGAGTGACGGCCACCACACCTCTGTGTCACGTCAAGGCAGAGTGACGGCCACCACACCTGTGTCACGTCAAGGCGGAGTGACGGTCACCACACCTCTGTGTCACGTCAAGGCAGAGTGACGACCACCACACCTCTGTGTCACGTCAAGGCGGAGTGACGGTCACCACACCTCTGTGTCACGTCAAGGCAGAGTGACGGCCACCACACCTCTGTGTCACGTCAAGGCAGAGTGACGGCCACCACACCTCTGTGTCACGTCAAGGCAGAGTGACGGCCGCCACACCTCTGTGTCACGTCAAGGCAGAGTGACGCCCACCACACCTCTGTGTCACGTCAAGGCAGAGTGACGGCCACCACACCTCTGTGTCACGTCAAGGCAGAGTGACGGCCACCACACCTCTGTGTCACGTCAAGGCAGAGTGACGCCCACCACACCTCTGTGTCACGTCAAGGCAAAGTGACGGTCACCACACCTCTGTGTCACGTCAAGGCAGAGTGACGGCGCCCACCACACCTCTGTGTCACGTCAAGGCGGAGTGACGCCCACCACACCTCTGTGTCACGTCAAGGCAGACTGACGGCCACCACACCTCTGTGTCACGTCAAGGCAGAGTGACGGCCACCACACTTCTGTGTCACGTCAAGGCAGAGTGACGCCCACCACACCTCTGTGTCACGTCAAGGCAAAGTGACGGTCACCACACCTCTGTGTCACGTCAAGGCAGAGTGACGGCGCCCACCACACCTCTGTGTCACGTCAAGGCGGAGTGACGCCCACCACACCTCTGTGTCACGTCAAGGCAGAGTGACGCCCGCCACACCTCTGTGTCACGTCAAGACGGAGTGACGCCCGCCACACCTCTGTGTCACGTCAAGGCAGAGTGACGCCCACCACACCTCTGTGTCACGTCAAGGCAGAGTGACGCCCGCCACACCTCTGTGTCACGTCAAGGCAGAGTGACGCCCGCCACACCTCTGTGTCACGTCAAGACGGAGTGACGCCCGCCACACCTCTGTGTCACGTCAAGGCAGAGTGACGCCCGCCACACCTCTGTGTCACGTCAAGGCAGAGTGACGCCCGCCACACCTCTGTGTCACGTCAAGGCAGAGTGACGCCCGCCACACCTCTGTGTCACGTCAAGGCAGACTGACGTCCACATAATTTCTCTTAGTATATTGTCAGTTTTTTTGTATTGTTCGTTGATGGACTGATTACATCATGTTTATTTCACTACTACACCTGCTGCCTCTGTATGTGACTGAAGAAGCCCTACTGTGTAAGCGAAACGTTTCGACAATGAAGATACCCAACTGTTGCACATGTGTCTTAATCTTCATGTTGTTTGTAGTATCAGGTATTTATACCACATATATAACTCCGTGTCACTTAAGGTAGCTATCTTTAAATTAAGGAAAACGGAAATATTTGTAGAAATTCTTAGATTCGTTACTCATTTATCTGTGTAAATTTGGGTAATGTTATGTTAGGTTAATTTTGGTGCAAAATAAAATGCTAGCATAAAGAAAATTCATAGCTATTTCATTTCTTCTTGCAGAAGGCGATTTTAAGGCCGAATCTTGGTGATCATCCCAAACTCCAGTTTATATATATATATATATATATATATATATATATATATATATATATATATATATATATATATATATATATATATATATATATATTAAGCAAATGTCTGCCCCTTTGATTTTAGTGTTTTTTTATGAATATATTTCTGCTTTTCTTTAGTATACAACTGTGTGTAATTTCAGCGTCTGTGTGAGGGGAGGGAATGAAAGACGACTCTCATTTATCTAGTTATTTTCTCATGAAATGTTTGTAATTTCTTATCTACGACTGATTGAGTGTTCTGACCTGTGTTACAGTGTACCGACGTTCCAGACGCTGCAAGAAGAAACCCTCATCAAGATCGCAGACGTTTTAGAAGAGGTAAGTCACCACCTTAAATTCTGTAGCTAGGAGCACCATGCAGCTGTATGATCAATACTCACGTCGCTAGAATTGTATGATTGTGGTTGGTAGGTGAGTCTTCGCCTCTGGTAACATATAATTGTGGTTGTTAGGCAAATTTCGTACTTGGCATAGTTTAGTGGAACTTGATAGAAATTTTAAGAATTACCTGGTGATGTAGTAAGCAGTGTCGACGGTGACACCTGCGATGCGCTAGCACCTCGCTGCAACACAATTGACTATTAAATAAAGACTAATGACACAAATCATTAGTTGATCGTTAATATCCATCAGCTGAGCCCAGTCATTAGCTGATCCCGGTCATCGGCTCAGCTCGGCCATCACCGTACAGACACTATACCCAGCACTAAGTAGCATCTAGTCTGATTAATCTGGTTCATTAAGAGACGATGATGCAGCAGCGGCCTCACACTGTGATTACTTGTGTTGTAAGTCACACCTTGGTTTGTTCCTGTCTTGGACGTTGTCTTAATAATAATGTTTATTGTGAGCATCTTCCACTCGCAATTAAACCGTGTATTATGTTTGCTTTAAGTTGTCAGTGCACCGAGGATTGTGATTGTTAGAACTGTAATGGGTGTAAAAATAAAATGTTATGTTGTGTAGACTCTTTTAATTTAAATGTGTAGACTATTGTAATTTATTTAGTTTGTAAAATGCTTGAAAGGAAATTGGGAAAGAACGGAGGTGATGAAGCTGGCTGGCTGAGGAGGAGGAGGAAGGTGATATAAATATATTTCCATTCTGCCATCAGTTAAGGTGGACCTCCAGTGGGGTTGTAAACACCAGGTTGGTGTTATGACTTGGATATTAAGATAAGTTTTTCATGTTGAATAAAAATAAGTTTGCATGCAATATTATAAATATTGACAGTACATAAAAAATATAGATAAAGTTATACAGGGGTGATACACAATAGTTTTAATCTAGGATAACCCAACAGTCATTGTGACTTATTTTCCCCCTCTCTTGTTGAATCATTATGAAAGGTCGATATCCTTAAGATGGAGAGTAGTAGCGGATGACTGTTGGGAAGGAGGGGGAGCTTTGGAAGACATGTTCATGGTGTCCTTCACACACACTCCTCTCTCTTTCACTCACCTCCACCTTCACTCTCACCTCTCCCTCCTTTGGTCACTGTTCCCACCTACACTGCATGGATGGACCACAAGCTTGTCTCGCCGCACAAGGCTGTTACCACCTATTCCCGCTCTCACTGTTATTTCCATATACATCTCTGACTTGCCCTCCTCTCCTCTCCACTCTCTCCCCCTCATTTCATTTAATCACCTCAGTATTCGCCTGATGTAGCCCGTTAGAATTATGTAACTTACTGATGGTTAGTCTACACATTTAAATTAAAAGAGTCTACACAACATAAAATTTTATTTTTACACTCATTAGAGTTCTAACAATCACAATCCTCGGTGCACTGACAACTTAAAACAAACATAATACACGGTTTAATTGCGAGTGGAAGATGCTCAAATTAAACAGATTATTATTAAGACAACGTCCAAAACAGGAAATAAGTCGCTCTGTCTGACTTTTTTTTTGGGTTATCCTAAGTTCTCTACACATATGCAAGGTAATCATACCTCTCTTGATACGATGTTTCACCTACACGAGACATATATTACGCACATAATAGTCTCATGTAGATGAAACATCTTATTAATAAAGGTCTTCTTTTTTCTGCGTGTGCCTTTTTGAACTACTTTAGTGGTGTCGTGTCTCGTATGTAACACTCAAGCTCTTGTCTCCGCTAAGCTAGACTTACTTCTCTTTATTAGGAAAATGTTCGCCGGATGTAAGAGCAACGTCGACTGTAGATATTAGGGACTCGTCCTTTCACATATATAAAAAAGAAACATGAAAAGGGATGTAAAATGCAGGCAAAATACTGTCTTTATTTTCTTATAAAAAGACAGGCACCGAGAATAAACAATACTAAAAACAATACTGTGTAACGTATTATAAAGGCTTTTTGCAAGTGCTATTCAATTTCCATTACACTTTTTTCATATTACAGTAACAAATAAAATGACGCTATAGTGGAGGTCTCGCAGTTACCATGATGGTTGGCACAATTACTGCAGCTGATAGATAAACAAGACACCTGTGAAACGCCTGAGTATCTTTATCAGGAAAACTGTTTTTCGCCAGCCAGTATCTTTATCAATTCGGTACAGAGCCTATAAACTGGAGACAGGAGAGGAGGTAATCAGATATTCACTCTACGAGTCTTGATCATTTTGAAGCTGATGCAGGAGAACGGACACTTGTGTACTGGAGTCTGATTACCTCTCTGTCTACTGTCTCCAAACTAAAGGAATGATAACCTCATCGTCTATTATCTCCAGACTAAAGGAATGGTAACCTCATTTTCTACTGTCTCCAGCACATAAACTGTATTCAGTTGATAAAAGCCACTAATTGCCAGAACGTCTTAATAATTCAGATAACCAGTGTTGCACAAATGTCTTATCCACTTGTTGGTATTGTATACCGTTGCTGAAATGATATAGAGATAGTAGACAGTCCAGGATTCTTGAATTCGCAATTGTTTTGGGTATCTGTAATTGAATTAAGAGTTGCTTCCAGATACGTCCTGCAGAGCTCTATTTTAGAACCATTTCCCCGTCTTTCCACTTCATGAGATGATTAGGACAGCTCTGAATATTAAAATGGTATAAAATACCGACAGGTTGTTAGGTAAGACACATATGCAACAGTTAAGAACATAAGAACATAAGAACGAAGGAACACTGCAGAAGGCCTACTGGCCCATGCGAGGCAGGTCCAAGTCTCCTACCGGCTTAAGCCAATGCACCCAACCTAGTCAGGTCAGGTCACATTGACTTAAGGGAGGAACACGGCAACCGACCTGGTAGCACAAGCTATCAGGTCCAACTCACACCCACCCACATCCACTCATGTATTTATCCAACCTATTTTTAAAGCTACACAACGTTCTGGCCTTTATAACTGTACTCGGGAGTTTGTTCCACTCATCCACAACTCTATTACCAAACCAGTACTTTCCTATATCCTTCCTGAATCTGAATTTTTCCAACTTAAAACCATTGCTGCGAGTCCTGTCTAGGCTAGATATTTTCAGCACACTATTTACATCCCCTTTATTTATTCCTGTCTTCCATTTATACACCTCAATCATATCCCCCCTAATTCTACGTCTTTCTAGAGAGTGCAGTTTCAGGGCCCTTAGTCTATCCTCATAGGGAAGGTTTCTGATACATGGGATCAACTTTGTCATCCTCCTTTGTACATTTTCCAGAGAATTTATATCCATTCTGTAATACGGTGACCAAAACTGTGCAGCATAATCTAAATGAGGCCTAACCAAGGATGTATAGAGTTGAAGAACAACCTGAGGACTCCTATTATTTATGCTTCTTGATATGAAGCCAAGGATTCTATTAGCTTTATTGCGAACACTTATGCACTGTTGTCTTGGTTTCAGATTACTGCTAACCAGAACTCCTAAATCTTTTTCGCAATCCGTAATATTAAGAACTACATTATTTAGTTTATATGTGGCATGGTTATTGTCCTGTCCAACATTTAGAACTTTGCATTTGTCTATATTAAACTGCATCTGCCACTTCTCCGACCACTGCATCAGTCTATTCAAATCTTCCTGGAGTGCTCGAATGTCCTCGTCAGAATGAATTCGACGGCCTATTTTGGTGTCATCGGCAAACTTGCCGATGTCGCTCTTTATGCCCTCATCTACACAGTAGGCTTCTTCAGTAGAGTACAGAAAAGTTGATAGAAAGAGACATGAAGACGATGTAATCAGTCCATCACCCTTGAAGTTTTGAGGTGGTCAGTCCCTCAGTCTGGAGAAGAGTATCGTTCCATAGTCTGAAACAATATGGAGTTGAAGTGACAGGATGGAGCCTTATATACCGCCAGGAGGTCAGATATAGGCCACTAGTAGAGATAAGAATGTAGTTGTTGGGAGGTCACCTCCCTCTCAAATCCAGCCATTCTCACTAGTAGAAGTTGTCCAAGTTGTTTTCTGTTCTGTACCAAGATACCATTGTGTTGCAGTGTCTGACAGAGTGAATATTAAAATGGTATAGGACAGCTATGTTGGATCCTGGACACTGAGGCAGCGCAGAGTAAGTCAAGATCTTAAAAACTGCAGATGGAAGAGTGGACCGCTTGACATAAAGGGAGGCAGGGTGGTCACAGGACCAACACCAAGAATAGTCAAACAAATGAGAAGCTTCAAAATCAGTAGTTTGGGCAACCTCACTGTCAGGGTAACTTCACTCTTTGGTTAACCTCACTGTTAGGATATTCTCGCAGTTTGAGTAATTCACTGTTAGGGTAACTTCACTGTTTGGGTAACCTCAATGTTTGAGTAATTCACTGTTAGGGTAACTTTACGGTTTGGATAGCCTCACTGTTAGGGCAACCTGACTGTTTTGGTAACCTTACTGTTTGGGTAACCTCACTGTTTGGGTGACCTTACTGTTTGTTTGGGTAACATCACTGTTTGGGTGACCTTACTGTTTGGGTAACATCACTGTTTGGGTGACCTTACTGTTTGGGTAATTCATGATTGGTTAGCAGAAAGATAATTGAGATATTAATAACGGCTGAAGGTCCTGTTGTAAACCATCTGCCAGAGGGTAACTTCTGACAGATGGTCTAAACCTTTGCCAGATGTATAAATCATTTGCTAGAAAGGATAACTAAATACATACTTGACGTGCTGTTGGAGTGTGAGCAAAGTAACATTTATGAAGGGATTCAGGGAAACCGGCAGGCCGGACTTGAGTCCTGGAGATGGGAAGTACAGTGCCTGCACTCTGAAGGAGGGGTGTTAATGTTGCAGTTTAAAAACTGTAGTGTAAAGCACCCTTCTGGCAAGACAGTGATGGAGTGAATGATGGTGAAAGTTTTTCTTTTTCGGGCCACCCTGC